ACTGTATAATATACGATATTCTTGTATTCCATTGACATGAACTATACTCAGCATATGATTTGTTATAACTCTATTTCTCATATATGTGATTTCATCCTAATTATTAATCAGTATGTGTATAGCAATGTATAAATGAGTGTGTTTTTCGACGAAGGTCGTCGTCATTATTATTATTATTATTATTATTATCAGCTTTATTCAATATTATATTTTTGGTACAATATAGAATTCTCAGCGTAAAGTATTTCAACAAGTTTCCGTTTCTTTCTTCTTGGTCGGTCCTGGCGATAAACATTGAGTGACCGCCAGTTAGATGTTAGCAGTTCAGTAAATGAACATCTGAATAATGTGCATTCTTTTCGCTGTATATTGCCAGCAACCACATTGGCTCTTATTGAGTTTTTTGTAACTTTGACAACGAAAGGTTGTACACTTTTCAGAAATACACCAGGATAGGTTGTGCGATTAATAGACATAATGATATATTAAAACAAACAAAAATAGATAACTTGTTGAAATATCTGAATGACATGAACAGGTAGCCCAGATGCTCAAGCAGGCCGCTTTCTACTCATCATCGTGTTTTGAGGTTAATTAATTTTCACTTATACCAGTCTTTGTGTTCTTACTATCGCGTCGTGGGAATTGCAGAAATCCTTCATTTCGAGTATAAATGATAACCGTTTCCGATGTAACAATCAGTGACAACCAAAACAAGCAATATTCAACTGACAAGTTATAACAATTGGCGACGGGGATGGGATTTGAACCCACGATAGGACATGTCTCTGAAATGGACATTTCTGGACCACTGGGCTGATCATGAATAACTGCTACTACTTCGTTTATATTACCGCTGATCACGGAGGCTTTCATCGCCGTGTTCATAAGTGCTGCAGTCATTTTCCAGCTCTGTATGCAAATTAGAAATTAATTTATCAACTTCTGTCACATCTCCAAAACATGGATGATTTAGCAGCCGTGTGCGTAAAACGTCTAAAACATTCAACTGGCTCTTTTTGAAAGGCTGCTGTTGTCGTTCAAATAGCAACTGTGACTAATCGGAAGAGATAACCATTTTCTGAATCAGCACGGTAATGAAAAATACTCTATGATTAATTAACAATCAATGTCGTCCAAAGACACCGGTGAGAACCCTGTATGCTGATTGCTCGAAATAATTACACTGAATTTTGTTCAATTACAGGTTGACCTGGATTCGTTAATTTGAAGATTGAGGGTTTAAAATTTTTTTTCACCCCGTCGCCAATTGTTATAATTTGTCAGTTGAATGTTGCTTGTTACGTCGGAAACGCTTATCACTTATACTCGAAACGAAAGACCTCTGCAATTCCCACGACGCGAAAGTAAGAACACAAAGACTGGTATAAGTGAAGATTTATTAACCCCAAAACAAGCAGCATTCAACTGACAAGTTATAGCATATTACTCAATATATGATTAAGGTGACAATTTGTTTGAAATTATAATATGTGAATTAGTTCAGTCCGATTATATTCCTCAAAGCATAACTAGTTTTTCCATAGGGTGTTTTTTTTTCACCCGAGGACAAACATTTATTAATTCAACAGAATTCATTTGATAAAATGGATTAGTCTAACATTACGTTGGTTAAAAATTATCCATGATGAAAATGTCAACTTTTATGTGTATGTATGTATGTGCTTAGATCTAGCCATATGTCTAATATAAACCCATTTGTGGATGAACATAGTGTCTACAGGCTTAAATTTACAAATACTAATGGTAGGACTAGTTATCAAAGTTCAACAGTTAAATGTTTGTCTCTCATCAGGATTCGACCAATAATTGGCAAACAACCTACGAAATAGACTTATCGAAACCCATTTTCTAACCATATTCTAATTTCAAAGGAATTAGCGAGAATCTATTAGCACAATTTACTAATTAAGCGCTCTTCGTGTACATATATCTGTGGGGTATTGATTCTAATTGTGATTGTCTAAGTTAAAATAGGTGAATTATGGTTAGAACTTGTAACCAAATGGTTGAAAGTTGAATGGTCTCAGGACTAAATCTTCCCTAAATGTTTTACTTAAGTTACTTTAGAAGAGTAAGTAAAATTGATTTTTAGTCCATCATCTTGATAGTGAAAATATTTTGATTTTGAGTGGTTGAAATAGTCAGGAGGAAACTATGGTATCAGTCAGCAAGGCGTACCTTTAGTTTTGAGATAAATCAAGCTTTCTGCAAGATGAGAATCTGCCACACAACTTCGAAGTCTGAGAAGTTATCACATTAATAATGGGATAATTGAATACAATTGAATGAATCATTTATTTAACATTCTATCTGTATTTCAACGATAATCGTCATCAATTGAGAATTATTGAAAATAGAAGAACTGAACAGTCAGTTTGTGATACAATGGAATTTACATCTAGTGTCAATGATGATCAACCATCATACAATCAATTTGGTTAATTCTTCAAATCACATTTTCTGATAGACATTTCGGTAAGTTTTATCTCCATCCGAGTCATTAGTGTGCACAGGTTATTACGATAATTACCCTTACCAGATAATCTCATTTGATGAATATAATCTACTCCAACATGGTCAAACTTTAAAATGACTATAGTGTTTTACTTGCCTACATTGGACTTTGAGAGTTTATTGATCTATTATCACAATTATATAACTTAATTTGGTGTTGTGTATTCTGATTTACATAAAAAAAGTATGTGTTTGTGGTATGACGATTCAATCGACGTGCCAATAATAACCTTGAAATATGCGATCTAAGTGATTATGTATTTTGTATTAGAGTTCAAGTACCTTTGAATTAATGTTCAACTTAGTACATTGTCAGGTATCAGATATAATGATAAGAAAGCAACAACTTATTTTTACTGTAACAGAAAATGATATGATTATAAAATGTGTCATAGAAATGTATTTTCTAAACTGATAATTGTTAATTGTTAATCGCTCGCGCATGAGACTGATAGATCCTGGATTCGAATCTCATGAGATGGGATCGTGGATGCGCACTGTTGAGGAGTCCCACAAAAGGACGAAACGGCCGTCAAACAGTGCTTCCAAGTTTTCCATGGTGGTCTAGCTTCGATTGACTCATGATCTCAACCATTAAAAATTACTATAATATCCACAAAACCCTTTCTGATATTAATTAATAAATGGATTATAAATAGGAAGATCAGCTGTTTGAACAACTTATACACAATTGAGTTTCCTCTAACTAGGAACAATAGAATCTTCTCTATTAGAAAATTGCACACAGAAATATATAACTCAATGGAAATTATTCAAGAAGAAAACTGATGTCAGTTTTTACTAGACATCAAAAACAAACCGAGATCTAAATTCCTCAATAAATTGAGTTTGATTCTTAGATAAGGTATTTTGTCAAGAACATCAGTTGGATCATTGAAAACCAGAAAACACAGGACAGCCGTTTCATTCTAGTATAGGACTCTTGAACAGTACATGCCGAAGACCCCCGAACCTTTATGTATAGTGACGTAGACTCCTTGGTTTTTAACTGTTCTCAAATGAGATTAATCTACAGTTACTTTTTTCTGCTTGTTAATATCTACCTTGATTACTAGTTAGATTCTAAGTAAAAATTTCACTGAGAACAATCTACAATTGAGATTAATCAATAATTATTTTGTACGAAACTCAGTTTACTGAAGTCATACAAAATAGAAAACAATTGATTTACTAAAACATTGGACCGATCCCCAACTGAAATTAATATCAGTCTCGCGCGCGAGTGTTTAACCACTAGACTACTAAGCCAGCCGGTATCCAACGGTGTTAATGTCTAACTTCAACTAATCCACGAAATCAAGCCACACATCCACCATTGTCATCCGTGAGTTATTATCTCACAACGGACCCGGTTGAACTCCATTGATCACAACTTCTCATTAAACTCCAGGAAATACCTCTTGAAGCCAGTCACTAGTGAGCATATGTTGATTCATATCAGAAGGGTTTTTTGTGGATATTATGGTCATTTCAATGGTTTAGATCATGAGTCAATTGAAGCTAGACCACCTTGGAAAACTTGACTTTAAAATATATAATCCTTTAAATTTTTACAGAATCATTTTAATCAGTATACCATTTGATTGTTCTAATAGAATTGATCAGAAATTGATGATTTGACAACATACAGTTACTGCTATATCAGAAGTCAATGAATAAGTGTTTACAGTTAGTAGTATAAATTGGTCAATAAATCATCCAAAATGGCAGGGGGGTACTTATGGGATCCGCATCACTACTTTAACTTTGAAGAATAAACACGAAATATCAGTTTTGAACTTTTTAAGACTAATTAGTAAGATGTATCTATAATTATAAAACTACTGGTAACTTCAACTATCCCAGTATTATTTCTAGTGGTATAGGATTTTCCAGTCACATCTTAATTACCAATAACCCTTGTAATATTTCCCAACTTGATAGATGTATGAGAAAATCCTCGAATAAATACAATTCAAATAATCTTTAGCATACACTATGGATACGGTAAATTGGCTGTGGTTTTAACAAGTTTCATGTAGGACAAGCCTGGCCATAGTGTATTGGCTAGCATGGAAATAAGTTGAAATAAGGGCTACGGCAGATAAACTGTGATAACAAACCATGAAGTAACTAAGTTATATTATCTGAGCTAGATAAACAGATAGATTATAATCTACAGCATGTGATAGAATAGTAACCTAAACGTTTATTTCCAATATGATATCATTTAAGGTGTGAATATCTTAGCCATATAACAAAACAGGTTAGTAACATTTTGTACAACATGAAGTTCATCGTTTCCTTTGTTAATACAGATTATTTTGATTGTCATGTATCAACTCTCACAGTACTATGTTTCAAGGCTACTCATTCATTCGCTCCAATCACCTAACGCAGAATAAGTAATATAATAGTCATAATAATTGTAATACGTATGTAAGCAAAAATTATCAGCTTACTTTTATCCTTATACTTATCATAATGCTTAATTGGTGGTTGTTTTCGAGCGGAACCTTGGCTAATTTTACCATAAAGACTGCTATCATAAGATAATTCTGATGCAAAATCTATAGTTGGTTTTTGTTTTTCTGCTTCAGCTAAATAATTATATTCATCTGGATGTTGAAGTATGCCATAATTAAACTGTGTAGTTGGTTTCCTGGGATCCAATGGCATTGATTCTCTATTTCCATTTTTGAATTCGTCGTCGTATAGGTTTTGTTGTCGTTTTCTTTTCTCTGAATCGTCACCAAGATTTTTTGATGAATGTCTGGTAGGAGTTAATGGAGTAGCTGTGTGAAGAAAAAAAACACAAAGGAACAAAGGTATTCTATGCATACATAAAGGATTTGTTTGAATTTCATAACTTTACAAGACAGTAACAAAAATTCTTATCTACCTGATAAATAAACACTTTAAAATTTCGATGACCATATTAGCGAGAATCACGCTTTAAATTGAACAATCTTTATAATAAAACTAGAAAGAAAACTTCCCTAAGTCCAAATAGTGAGTAGTATGTAGACTTGTGGATGGGATTTAACCATAGCTGACAATCATCAACCAGATACTATCAATGACATGGTATAAATGACAATGTTATATCATGTGATTGATTATGGAATATTAAAGAATGGGGTATTAATTAGGTGAGAAAATTACATGAGGTAGGTTCAAATTCGTAAGTCCATGATCACGGTTTTACATAGGGCAGAACAGAAAGCGTAATTGATCTGTGCTACCCAATGATAAGTAATGGTGATAAATGTTGTCGAAGTAGACATAACGAACGGTCTACATATCTAACCCCACAGAAGTAAGTGAACTGATATGTATACATTAAATTAGCTAAGTTAGGCAATTTATCTTTCATATGGAGGCATAAAAGAGGACTATAATAGGCTATATACAATAACTTTCTTGTTCGCTAGTGAAAAGAAACAACTGTAAATACTTCTCATATTCATGCAGGTTCAATGGGTAGAACGGATTAAATGGAAGAGAGATCATGATGTGATCGGACAGAAGAAACATGTGCAAATTATTATGATAACGGTAGACAGAAATGATGAAAGTGATGTTAATTACTAAAGAAAAACACTAGTGAAGTAATCATAATATTAATGATGATAATGCTAATGATTATAATAACAGTTGACAATTGTATGAGGAAATGGAAGGAAATATGTTCACCGAGGTCTGTTTATACAACATATGACTATAAAATAATTTTATCGCAATCTCAGAAATAACCATGTCTTAAGCAAATTGAAAGGCAAAGTAATCACCAACATTGAAGAACAGTGAAACAGATGTGCCGAGCACTTTAAGGAACTCTTAAATTGACCAGTCCCATTGAACTCACCCAAAATCGAAGTAGCACCCACGAACCTCCCAATCAAGAGAGAAAAGAAAAACCAAAGAACACATTATGCCGAGAAATGGAGACAGACATGAGAAGAATGAACAACAATTGGATAGAACTAGAAAGGAAGACCCAGGACAGAGTGAGTTAGAGAACTCTGGTCGGCGGCCTATGCTCCATTTATGGTAACAGGCGTAAATAAGAAAGTAAGTAAGCAAGTCGAAACTCAAGAAATTTTGATTGATAACTGATGAAAGCTGACAAAATGTAACTTTCAATTCATACAAGTTAGTATTAGGAAAACCAACCTTGACTGGGTAATATTTGAATTTCTACAGTTTCTTATTCATTTCAATACAAGATAGGCTTAATAAAATGCTTCTTCAAATGTACTACAGATAGATTTGAAGATGTGAAACTCCTGACTGATACACTGATATCAAACAATTATCCATCAAAGTTTATGAATAAGTGCAAAAAATTAGTCAACACTGAAACTCCTCTTTAATTCTGTGTTATATCCCGATCAGAATAATTAATGTTAAATGTTAGAATCGATTTATGGACTAATACTATACATATATTTCTATTGCATAATTGTTAAGTAACTAAACTATGTATATTCATATTCATTTAATCATAAGCTTTATTTTGACCTATAGATTATTATTACACGATTTGCCATTCTTGAGTTATTCCCTGTCTATTAATTACAGTCTCCCACATTAACAGTCACTTTTGGTTAGATCTTGTACAAATGCTGTTTCCTGTTTTATAGTACGATGTGGTCTGTTTGGTTTGTATATAAAGCCAGTATATCTGAAATACATGATTCATATCATAGAGGCTTAGATTGGTGTTCTGCACTCAACAGGCAGAGCTAGGCAGGAAGAAGGACCGATAAGGACTCTAGACTGGTCGTATGGGTTTACGCATCATTAGTTCGATTGATGAATCACTGTTCTTTAATTGGTAGTATCATTACGTTATAACTTAATAAGACACAGGGTCACAAGTTATAACATTCTGCTGCGAAGAAAAGTGTTTATATCTCTACCATTTAGTCATGAATCAAGCAGCATGATTTTAAGATAAACTAAAAGCAGCCAACGAGAAAACATATACTGCTATCCTGGTTGTGATTGAAAGGACTAAACTCATGATTTTCATAGGTCTAGACATTCCACGAACGGTTACGTTACATAACATTGCATTTACCAATTTACATGTTTTTGTGGACGCACATACATGGGGAGGAGTAGTCGAACAATTCAATTCAGGGTTATGGAACATATGTTTATATGACATTAAAACCATTTAGTGTCAAATGCTCCGATAAAGATGGGGAGTAGAAAACCATGTTCATCGATAGTAAAGTACATAATTGAAATGGGACATAGAATTGACATCAGTACACCTTTTAAAACGTATAAAATTTGTCAACGACGAATTCTTAGGTTTGTAGAAGCCTTGTCTATTCGTAAATTCAAACACTCATTATATGTACACAAATAATTCGTCGTAACCTTGAATTCGCGCTCGTAATCCTCAAGTCATTTTGTAACCTAGGGTAATGAGACTATTTCTTATTCTTTACATACAGTGTTAATTTTCATTCTTTATTTACAATTATCATTTTGTCTACTTGAACTTTATTTGACCTTTCTTAATTTTCATATAAAATGCTTTGACAAGTAAATGTGTGACTGGATTGTTCGAAATGTTTGATGTAAATGCATCAATTCCGTCTTGTCATTGTTCCAGTAAAATTTAGAAAGGGAGCTTATTACTTCAAATACTTGTTTGATTTTAGTAACTCTAGTTTTTGATAATGAACAGGGGTGGGTGCCTCAATTTACGAGAGACTGGCTCCGAATATCAAATCTTAATATACTATGGTGCTTGCAGTGGTCCACCAGGGTGATTGGTAACTGTGTGGTTGCGCCACAGGATTGAGCTGTACTATTCAGATTGTAGCGCTAAAGCCTATATAGTGTCTGGTTCTCCTGTGAAGCGGGATTGGGCCGTACTGCTCGAGTTATAAAGTTTAAGCCTGGGTGATGTCTGGTTCTCCTGGAAACAGGATTGAGCAGTACTATTTGGGCTACAAATTTTAAGCCTGGGCGACGTCTAGCCTTCCTGTTAAACGAGATTGAGATGCACTGTCCGGGTTGTCACATGAAAGTCTGGACGGTGTCTGGTTCTCCTGAAAACCAATAGAAAATTACCCAGGCCCACAAGGGTATATCATATAACTGATAAATGAAGGTGCTTGAAGGAAGGTGTCATTACTAAGGTTTGATTTGATAATTTCGAATAAATTGAGCATTGGGTTGATTGTCATAAATAAAAATAATATATTTGTAACATCCCAATGAGTAGAAAATTGGATTTTCTGACGTTTCGTGACTTAGTGTAAGTCACTTCTTCAGAGAATAAATTTTCTAAGTATGATGATGGTTTCCATCACAAACTTTGTCAGATGGAAAAGAACCATTGGAAACACAGGAACAGTCGGCAACTATATTTTGTAGTTCGTAATTCTTCAGAACCGTATTTTCATAACCACACAATGGATAGATTGTTTCTGAATTTAATTTGCTCAATAATCGGTGGGATTCTTTGTTTGTAACACGTGATACTGACCGTGTAAAAGGACGGGTGTTTTGTGACTAAAAGTCATGTATGACGCCTAATCCACGTATTATTTCTGGTTTATGGAACTTTATCATGATTACCATCTGTGTGTACATTTTAAGGTGCTAATAAGTAAAGGGAAGACCTGTATTGAAATAATCTCACTTTATTCCACTAATCCTATTTTGCTTTGTTAGAAATCAATAATTTGAGGTAACTGCTGTAAATAATCGCCAAGAAATGGAGACAGACATGAGAAGAATGAACAACAATTGGATAGGAATAGAAAGGAAGGCCCAGGACAGAGTGAGTTGGAGAGCGCTGGTTGGCGGCTTATGTTCCATTGGGAGTAACAGGCTTAAGTAAGCTGTAAATAATATTGAATCTACTTGTAATCGTAGTAAAAAAAGGTTAGATCTAACATTTCAACAACGAAGAAGATTATTTGTGAGAAACTAGTTTTCTTAATATAACCATTAACTATGCCGACTGATCAAGTACTTTCCATTGCAAATTAATGTTTCGTAATGGACGAAGCGTAATTTTGACAGCAAAGTTATCAAACAATACATCTTAGATAACCCAAAAAACGCTCTCAATATGTTAAGGTAAGATTATGAAGGTCACTGTGCTTGAGGCGATAGAAACACCACTGGACAAAACATAAGGTTTAATCGATTGAGATAGAAAATTCAGTCAATCAATCACGTTAGGCTACTCAAGGTTATTTGGTTACGGTCAGAATGTTGATTGGTTGATTTGAATCGAACCAATAGCTTGTATTGAGAGTTAGACATATCTGTATGGCTGGCCACGCTTTCCATGGTTTTCCCCCTTACGAATGAAGTGTTTAAATATAGAGGACGCATTGATCTCATCGTCATAGTTTACTTGGATCTCCATACGTTTGGGCTGTTTTATTTAAACAAATATGTTATTACCAAATCAACCTGCTCCTAATTTTGAAGGCACTGCTGTTGTTGGCACGGAATTGCGTCCAATTAGTTTGAGTCAATTTCAAGGGAAATATGTGTTACTGGTATTTTACCCACTTGACTTGTAAGTCAAATGTACTATTCATTTCTCAACAATTTTACAATACTTCACGTAATTAAATTAACACCCATGTTTTCCTTTCAGCACTTTTGTTTGTCCAACGGAATTGATTGCATTTAGTGAAAGAGCTGCTGAGTTCCAATCTAGAGGATGTCAAGTAATCGCATGCTCAACTGACTCAGTCTATGCTCATTTGGCATGGACGAAATTGGATCGTAAAGCTGGTGGTTTGGGGCAAATGAATATACCTTTGCTGTCCGATAAAAACCTAAGGATATCACGAGCGTACGAGGTTCTTGACGAACAGGAAGGTCATGCATTCAGGTTCGTTTTGTTAATTCATGAACACATCTCTGCTATATTTATCATACTGCAAATGTCACACGGGCGGTACTTGCATAAAGACGAGCCATATCCTGAGTCTGTGCCCATAAACTGACCCCGTATTTATTTACTTGTTTTTAGAGGTATGTTCCTCATTGACCGCAACGGGATTTTACGTCAAATTACTGTCAACGATCGCCCTGTAGGGAGATCAGTTGATGAAGCGATTCGTCTTTTGGATGCTTTTATTTTCTTTGAGAAACATGGCGAAGTTTGTCCAGCGAACTGGAAACCAAATTCAGCAACAATAGTACCCGATCCCGTTGCTTCTCTCTCCTACTTCTCGTCTGTGCACTGAGTTTTTGTATTGATATCATATTTTAGTTAACATTAATAAACAGTTTTTGTCATCTGTTTCTATGGGTTTTGTGTGGGATGCATTTTGTGCGTAGAATGCTGCACTATCTGCTAGGCATAACAGGGAGGCTCGTGGGATTCCTGTTGGACTCGGTATTTGTCCTATTACATGCTAGCTTGTTTGCTACGATGTAGTAATGATGATGGTGTGTGTAGTGAGTCGGCACCGTTTGTCTGCGAATGGGAACTGAGCATATAGGCCTTTAACGGGCTTCATTTTGTGTCTCACCTCTTTTCACCCGACCTAGCTTGCGGCCTCAAGGTGTGGTGACTAAGTATGTGACGTCAGCGTGTCTGGTCGATTCGCGACATGATTTCACAAAAATTGTAAAACGTTAAAGGTATCTGGTGACTTACCTCAACCGGCTATGATATTTAGTTCAGTTTGCTACTATGTCGGTTCAACTCGTTATAAGCTTCCAGAACTCACGTTTGTGCCATGATTAGTATGGGTAAGCTCTAATTGTTCATGGCGAAACTCCACAACTGTCCTATGTGCAGATCTACATTGTATTTGCCACACTCCTAACCATTTCATTTTTTGTAGGGTTTACTTTGAAGTAAGCACCTCACGTTTAAAACCTGAGAGACTCGTTTACATTATCCTTGAATGTGCATGGGAAAAAGTAGTTGGTGAGTAACATCAAGCCCTGGGTTTTTGCTATCCTCTAATATTATACTAAATAGGTAGATCTTGACACTCAGATCATTCATTGGCAACCTAAAGTATTGTAGTCGGGAAGAGCTTTTTTGGTAGCTTGATTTAGTAGCTCTACTAAGTTTATATATTATATACATAAGCAACCACTAAGAACTAGAAGTGCGCCGGATAGCTGTTGAGACCTAGTACGAAACTTTCACAGTGCACACATACAACACAACAGGGGATTAAACTTCAGGCCTCCAGTCGAGAGCCCAACTCCCATGTCACTGGGTTGAGACCCAGTAGTTCGCATCCTCAAGTCCGGTTGATTTGTGATATTGCACAACTATAATCCATTCCAATTAACGATGCTTGTCTCATGCCTGATATAGTTTAGTGAAGTTAGGAATCACAACCACTCTCTGCCAACTCAATGATCGGGGGGTTGAGCTCAGGCCTCCAACCGTGAGTGCCCTGGGTTCACATTAGAACGAAACAACTACCCGGTCTTTTCTGGTTTCCACTAGTTGTCCAACTAACAGCAGTTCGCAATTTATGACTATACAGACGAGCACTGGTGTTATTGTCGTAGAAATAGTTCACCTAACTTGAACTCTATATTTATCTCACGTCGAGATAATAGTAAAAACAGTTGTTTATTAAATAATATTGTTTCCAGAGATCAGGATATCGTTTATGTTATAGAGATGATCAACTCAGCTCCTCTATGAACGGGTTTTAAGACTTACCAGCTTTAGGACCATCTGAAATTCGAGGTCGACTAACAGTCCCGTCACGTGGATAGTGTATATCTTCTTTCGAGTTTGGAGAAAGAGGCGGTGGAGGATGGCGTCTATGACCTGGGAGCTCATCGGTCACTTTACTTCGCGTTTCTGTTGTAGTCGAATGACAATTACCTCGATCAACTGAAACGTATAAATGTTAGGGCAAAATGAGATAATGAAATTGTGAAGTTATAATAATATGTGATTTATTCATCTAGACTTACATTTAAGAACAGATGTCGATTTTCCTAATATTTATATGATGATGATAGCATTGTGTTATGTTACACAGCATCTGATTTGGATTAAGTGTTTTGGTTACTAGTCAGACTACGAGTCCATTGATTTAGTTGACTAAGTTTCCAAAGTGGAGATAATCCTAGGGATCATTATTCTGTTAGATATTCTTTGATTAATCTTTCTAGTTTTATGTAGATATTATATACGTGGTCAACCTAAGTTGAAATATTATTGCAAACTATAGAGAGTTGAACAGCTGTTTCATTCTAGACTCTAGCAGTAACCACTCATGAGGGATCGAACCCAAGACATTCAGTTGTCGTATTGAGCGTTTAATCTGCAAATAATTTGATTGAAATCCGCCTTCCTATTATTATCTGGTTCTGTTCTAGTATTTGTAAACTAATTAGTAAATTAATGATGTGTAAAATAACTTTTAGCATAAAATGTATTCTAATTCTGTGTATGATGCATAGTTAAAACATTAGCTTATGTATTTTCTCTCATCTCTTCCATATCCTCTTAGCAGTTAAGTAAATAACCTCATTGGGACACTATTACTACAACCATAGACCATATTCAAACTCGAAAATATACGAAAAAAGGAACCAAAATTAAATAAAGGTATAATTTAGTCGGATGGTTTGTAGAGATTAGCTCAGTTTGACTGAAGTTAGAGATGTTGGTCACTGAGTTTAATCTCACAGGTTTTGAGCTATTATGTTTACTAAGAAAACTGAAGTTCTTGTGCGGGACCATAGGTGTAGACTCTCAAACACCAGAATGAAACAAGTGTTTAATGCTGTGTGACTTCTAAAGGTTCCTCGATTGGTATGCCATTCCATCAGTTTGTCAATCACAAGTAAAGTAAGACCTGGCACATATATTTATCAATTCAAGTTGCCACACAATGACATCACAAAGAGATGATATTGCCAAGAAAAATGCCAGAGTAGTAGAAAGATTAGGTATAGGTAACATGAATTGATAATAAAGAATGAATTCACGGAATAAAAAATATGAGATAATTTAAAAACTTAAGATCCAAGGGAAGACAGTGTGAATGCATCTATAACCTCAATCAAATAGTCTGCGCATATCAACGTAGTTCAATCCAGTAGTCAATGACTTCATGAACTGAAGTCATATCTTGGTTTGATCACCCCAATGATAACGACTGTAAAGTGTGAATCGTTTAGTAATCACTCATTCGTTTCCCAATATTGCGCTCGCCTTGAAACTAAGCGGCTTTAGTACATTCACTTATACGTGGACATCGTTGGTGCGTACTATTGACAGAGGTCCGTACAGCTATCATTTTTACAATAAACCTAATTTATTTATGATCATGTCGAATATTTGATAAAATATCTCGTTACCTCTTATTAATTTATTTGCAGTTATGAAGGGAATAGAAAAGTAATTTCTATATTTGGACTCAAAATAATTGAAGGACAACATTTTCTTAGTCAAATCATAAAAGTCTGATGCTCTACCGACTGAGCTAACCGAGCCCATAAATGCCGTGGTACGGCCGAGAGTGTGAAGAGTCCGCTCTCCCTCTCGAAATGATCTCACAGGGCCACGCGTATATAGCCTATGCCAGGGAGGTCCTACTGACTGCTTTCTCGTGGTAGGGGTGTTATTTACAAAATGGAGAGTACGAAAAGCGAATTTCCGGCGCTTTAATCGAGTTGGTGGGCACGGAGAGTCCATGTAGGGGAGTTGGAAAACCCTGATTCCAAACCAATGGTGCACATGGGCTCCAGTATCCTAAAGGAACAAATGGCGTATGAACCAATCGTTGGTCACAGGCTACCATGGGACTGCATCTGCTTACGATGCTCCACTGCCTTGTGGATTAGACCTTTATGTCGAAGGCTTCGCTCGTGGTCCCCTAAGAAAACCACCTGCTTCGGTTTGGGCACTCGGGTAGTATCACAGCCCTCACACAAATCTCATTTGATTTGTGTGGCGCATATGTATCTGGTGCCCCCTTGTACCAATATCTGTGTTCAAATAAATAAATAAATAAATAAACAATGGTTAAATCATAACGGAAATGTTACAAACAAAATAAAACAGTAAACTGACTGACAATGAAATTTAAGTTAGAAAAAATTAACAGAATGAATTGAGAATATTGTTACAAATACTTGACCTAGTAACAGTAGTGGTAGTGAAACGACCCCGATAGTTAGTAGAGTTAGCTCTCCCTCTCGAAATGATCTCACATAGCCATGTGCATACAACCACTATCAGGGAAGTCCTACCTCACTGTCTTGTTTACGAAACTGAGAGGACGAAAAGCGAATGTACGGTGTTTTAACTGAATTGATGGTGGTTTTTGACTGAGTATAATTACCATCTAAAGTTTTAAACCTATACTGATTAAAAAGCAAGGATTACTTGCAGGTTTTGGCTACATAGAATAATTCAACCCTTTAATAATAGTGATATATACAATATAATCGTTGAGCAAGTTTTTAGGTGTTCGAACTCAGAAGCCCAGTGGATAACTGGGTGTCGCTCAAAGCGATAGAGGTGTTAGGCTCAAGTCCTCATGTTTATATCAACCATAGGATGTAGATATATTCAGATGAGAAGTTTTAAATAGAACAAAAATTCCATTCTAAATTTCATTTCTATCCCGAATTCATTTATTCTAAAAGAATTGAGATTATTTACAACATTTTATGAAGAACAATAGAAGCCCAAACAAATTCTCTTATATTTAGTCGATAACAGAAGGCACAAATATAAATAAGAATCTCTTATGTTTAATCTGTATCATTTTGATTTTGTAAAAAGATTATACTCTTATGTTGTATTTCGAATAGTTGCATGATATAATTCTAGGATGATCTCAGTTCAAATATGTTTCTATGACATAATTGTAATTAAATAAAAAATTTTCATCAAAAATCTAGATGTTCATAACTATATTACTTAATTGTTGATTTCGGAGGATAACAGAAAGTTACTAATGTTCAATTAAAAGTATTGGGGTTCTAGAATCATCAAATCGATATTGATAACATCTAACCATGGTAAGTAAATTAATTTTAAAAAATGTTATGAACATGTATATACTTATATGAGTCAAATATGTATGTATGTATGTATAGGATTTGTTGACTCCTCAAGATTCTCGAAATCGTTGTTTAGAGATAATAATTAACACAAATCAAGGTCTATTACATTATGTTCAATGCCATCACTCATGGGATAATATAAACTATTCTGTATACGTTATCGTTTAAACTAAATTCCTATGTTTTTTAAAAATCTGATTGTGGATGCGCACTGCTGAAGAGTCCCGTAATAGAACGAAACGGTCGTCCAATGCTTCCAGATTTTCCATGGTGGGTCTAGCTTCAATCGACTCATGATCTTAACCATTTAAATGACCATAATATCCACAAAAAACCCTCCTGATATGAATCAACATATAAACACTAGTGACTGGCTTCAAGAGACATTTTCTGGAGTTCTAGTGAGAAGTTGTGGCCAGTGGAGTTCAACCGGGTTCGTTGTGAGATAGTAACTCACTGACGACAATGGTGGATGTGTCGCTCAATTTCGTGGATTGGTTGAAGTTAGACATTAACACCGTTGGATACCGGCTAGCTCAGTGGTTTAATGGTTAAGTTCTCGCGCGCGAGACTAATAGGTCCCGAGTTCGAATCTCGTAAGGTGGGATCATGAGTGTGCACTGCCAAGGAGTCCCACAGTAGGACGAAACGGTCGTCCAATGCTTCCAGGTTTTCCATAGTGGTTTAGCTTTAATTGACTCATGATTTCAACCATTAAAATATTTTAAAATTGAGCAAACGTTTTCGAAAATAAGCATCCGTTTTTTTGTAAACTGTAAGCCTTTATCTATGACCAGAAATAAAAACAAAACGAAGAAGTATACAACTTTTGCTATTGATGTATCTCAGTTTCAAGGTTAAGTTGATTATGCACATCAGTTAATTCTATAGCTCATGTAATTCTCTATTGAAAAACAATTGACATAGTAGCATTTTTGTATTAAACACGCTTGTTTAAAATGAGGGTCAACGAAATATTTACACGATATATATATTCTCTATCCCACCGTATGAAATCAATCTATTCATAATGAATGAATGAATGAATGAAGCCCTTATATATTGAAGTAAGAAACTAGGATTATGTACACGACCAAACCATTCAGCTCAGAGAACAAAACACCACCAAAATTATGTACAAATAAAAAACTAAGGTGTGAATGAAACTTTAAAACAAACAAAAGAATAATAACACTACATTATTTGCAGGTCATTTGATTGTTTATATGATTATAAATTTAGAAGAATTTACATTCATATTGTATTACTAATTTAGTAGGACGGCAACATTAAACACTTTTACGTTGAGAAGTTTAATTTATAGATGGTTTTTCGTCGGGAATAATGACAGTTAGTCAGTTACAATGTAGGACCAGACACACATATACATCGGTACAAGTTGCCATACCTCACTCATTAGCACAACAATATGAACACCGGATTCATAGAAGTAGTTAATACAATGGTGAAAATGTATAAAAGGAAGATGGCATATAAGGACATAGTACAGCAAGAAAGAATTCGTTCGTAGAAAGTAAGATATGAAGCGATTTTAATCTCAGAGTTTAAGGGATGACAGAGAGTGTATACATCGACGCTATTGTGATAGATTTTGAGCCATGTCACACAGTCTCCAACCATTGGTTACGATAGTCATGCGGACCCTAACCAAGTAATCTGCATCTACCAACATGACTCAGACTAGAAGTCAGTGACTTTAAGCACTGATGCCACATTTTGGTTTGGCCACCCATAACTTTCTTCCAACCATCTCCAACACTGGTCAGCATTGCTCGTCGTGGTAAT